ACACACACACACACACACACACACACACACACACACACACACACACAAAGTTTCATGCACCTGTGCATATGTATCCTAAGGTGTGGCTCATAATAACATTGCTCTTCTATTTTCTCCTTGGCTGCACCTGGCTTGCAACCATGTAATAACTATGGATTTCCTAGCAGCCAGTTAGCGGCCTGTGCTGAAGGCTTTTATTGTACAAAAGGGACAACCTGTGACCCTCAGTACCGAATGAAGAATTTAGTGCCGATACCAAATCCGTATACACCAAAACAATACTTTTCAGTCTGGTGAATAGAAACCTTTTTTGTCATTCAACAAAATGCAGCAAAATACAGCATAGCATACAGCTCAATGGGTTAGAATAAGAAACAGAAACAGTTTCTTGTCAGGTAGGTTTGCACACACAAGGAATGTGACTTGGTGATTTGGAGCATAACAATAAACACAGTGCAAAAGTCAAGAGACATCGTAATGAAAATAAATAAAATAGGTAAAACATTTACAGTAGAAAATATGACAATAAATTGTAAGAAATACTTAAAAATACAGCCGTTTTCTTTTCATGGAAGCGCTGTACAGTTTTGCGCAGAAATGTACAAATAATTGCTTGTGCAAAGGTTCACAGTATAACGTACGAGTACAACGGCTATGTGCATGTTGGGAGATAAGATGTGCGTTAATGTAAGATGTGGGCAAAACACAAACAAAACACGCAAAAAGTCGACATACTCAGAAAAATGTTTAACATCTACAATTCCACAATCTTCCCCATCAGATGGAATTGCCTACTCACTTTTTAAGTGATAGACTTAAAAAAACACTTACGGTGAGACGTTTTTTCAGATCTGGAACTATCTGATCAAAGAACAGGTAAACAAGCCGAAGAATCTAAGCAAGCATTCAACACTGACTTTGGAAACTGGCTGCCTGACAAGTGGCCTCGCAAGTGATGACAGACCTCCAGGAATTCACTGCAAGACTCAAGGAAGTCCAGCTATTCCTACACAAAGCTTTGTTTACCTTTGGCTGACATGCAACCTCTTGTGTTTGTGCAGACAATGACAACACAGGTAGCAAGTGGCATGATGGAAACTTATCGTGCCCAGCTCTGACATCTTCCATTACCAAGTAGGTTTTGTTGTTGATTAAAAGTAACAAAACAACCATAGACGAGGCAGCTGGTGGAAGAAAATGTTCGCGAGCCACTTGTCGCTGTTTTGCAAAGCCCTAAAAAACACTACTGAACCTACTGAAAGTGGTGGCAGATTAGAGTACGGGCCATTTGCCAAATGCATCTGGTATATTTTGTTTTTTAAAATAGGCTTACACATTAACCAAACAATTCCAAATAGTCCATGAAACAAGGAATAGTAACTCTACATTATTCTTTATGCATCAACATTAATCATTATCATCATCATTTGTCGTTGCGGCGCTGTCCCAGGTGCTGAGACACAGCGGAGGAGATCGACTGACAGACCGTCTCAACAAAGCAAGGTCTTTTATTTTATGTTTATATGTCTAATAATTTGTTAGTTTGTCAATTATATTTATTCAACAGCTAATTTGTTTTTGCGGGCTATTGATACAATTGAATTGATTCATGTTACATGCAAGCATTGCAAGAAGCATCAAGAAGCAGCAGCAAAGGTTTTTGTTTTTTTTCCTCCGACACAACCTGCCACGAGACAAAGAAAACGTTTTCTAGCAACTGAGATCTGTGTCTCTCACTAACTAACTGACAGAGTGAAGGGTGAGAGGCGACTGGCGGTTCTCCTTTGACACTATCCCTCTCTCTTTTCCTCTCTCTTAAGTGCACATTATGTGCGAGAGAGATCAATACAGTTGGCCCACAGTGAGCCCCAGCCTGAACCTTCTGGTGATGCAATTTCTTGCGCAGAACATCTCCAGTCCCAGTCCGCGCTGCATCAGACAGTCTCGCTGAAGAGATGCAGAGGCAGGTTACCGGGCTGTGACAGAGGGCTGGCTGCCGCCAATTGGCCCCGATTTAACTCTGTCATCTCGGGTGCAGAGGCAGTAGAGCGAGACGGAGGCATCATGTCGTGCATTTTGGTGTCTAGATGAGAGTCTCGGAGAGTGGAATGGAAATCTGAGACCAAACAAGATATAATAATGCTGCACAGTCATCCCCACAGTCAAGTAACTGGATATGAATTTTCCACCGCAATCTCGCCGAAGATATTATATATTTAAAGATCCTGCAAGAAGTGTTACGCCGCTTGCTAGTCATTAAGGCTCCATAATCTCCCGTGCATTTATCTAAGGCAATGCACTTACATCTATCTCTTCTCTCCGTTTTTTATGCATGCCTTGAGTTTCCACTCCAAGCAAGCAGGAAATGTCCTTTTATTACACTGCAGGAGCAATAAAAACAGATGGTGTAGAGTGAGGACTTTCATGCTGCACTCACTATTTTTCATTGTGTGCATTACAGAAATGTGTGACACTGCTTTGGCATCACCCCCCTGGTGAGCTCCCAGCATGGCACCAGCTCTCTTTTTATTCTCTGTGCCCGTTTCATGTGCTCGCTGGAGCAACACACAACACACACACACACACACACACACACACACACACACACACACACACACACACACACACACACACACACAACTGCCCACAGAGGACAAGAACTAGAAAGGGGGAAAAAACCACAAAAAAAGAATGCTGCTTTTCAAGTGATTGTTTGAAGAATGTTTAGGATAATTCTATCAAGACATGTCATCACAAATTGTTTTGTTTTTTCGCAGTACTTACCTCAATTTCGCCTTCGAACTCGGAGGTGTCCAGCAGGGTCATTTTGAAGGGGGATGTTTTAAGTCGTTTGGAGCCCTTCTGGGGAGACTTGAGGTTTTTGTTTGGGGATGTCCTCTCTGACATGTCGTCCGTTTCTCTAGGTTCATCCATATATTTGGAGTTCTGTTCCTAAGACATATGTATAAAAAAAATGGGAAGTCAAATGACATCTGAGTGGATATCTGAAGTGCATTAAGATTAAGTTCTGTCACGGAAATGGCCTGAGAGAAACTCATTGGTGTAGACTCAGAATTGTGGCTTTAATAGATGTAAGTCAGTGTTCCATCTGCTAATTCAACATACTGAGAAGCATACAGTGTAATGTACATCTACTGGAAACTGCATTGGGTCCCAGTTATAAGACTAACCACTGAATTACAGCCATATCATAGACTCTTCAGACTATTTTGAAACAAAGACTTGGAGGCTCAGACCAGACGAAATGTTGCAATTTGAAGAAATACTGTACATTAATGAGGCAACAAAAACAAATTAACTCTATTTTTTCTGCCGTGTAATGATATTCAATCTCAGCTCAATTAGACACAAGCGTTGGAGCCAGTTGCATCAGCAGTTTGCAGGTTCAAAGTTTTAAGACATTTTTATTAAATTAAAATTGGCTGCATCATACACACACACACACACACACACACACACACACACACACACACACTTTATTACTAATTATGAACACCCTGGTGTTACGGCTGCTTGCTAACTGACAAAACTAACAATGGCTTGTAGCGTTTAGAATGAAGAGTAAAAGTTAAATATGGAATACGGTCATATATACTATTAGCTAACTCTCAAAGGCCCATCTTTCTCCATGTATACATAAGCAAAACAGTCATACTTGTGTTTTCTAAGTATTCCCAGTTAATTGAATTAGTTGTTTGCCCACTTAAATGTGGACACTTGTGTTACAGCTCAGCCCAAAACTTCCTGTTTACAAAATCTATTAATCTGTTAATATTTCTTAAGTTTTAATGGTGCAACATGGTTAATTAAATCACTAACTTGTAACATCTAATCAACCCTGGCCCTGCAAAGTAGATATGCACAGGACTGACCCACATAAAGACAAACAAACAGACAGACACACAGAGATTTATGGTGAGATCCTGACCTGTTTGGCCATCTTGCTGTCCGAGGCTGAGTCCTGCATGCTTACTGCTGCCCCCTGCTGTTTGGGAGGACTCCTTTCTTGCTCTCTTCACCTCCGGACTCGGGGCCTGCCTCTGTCTCGTCAGCAAAGTAACACCAACCTGAGAGGAGACAGCAAACAAACAAATATTTTCAAGAACTGTCGTAGATTCCCTCTTCGAAATGCCATGTCCGAAGCGTTAATGCATGCTCTCCTTCGGCATCAAAAGAGCCGAGATGACAGCAGGAGCCGCAGCTGGAGACTGCGAAACATTCTGAACACGAATGCCTTCACCCTCCAAATAATAACGGCACTGGCTCCAGGATCACACATTCATTACAAATTCTGAAAGCTACAGCTTCTTGATACAACACAATTTCCACAGACATAATTCACCTTGCCGGCAAGGACATTTACTTTAATTATAAAATCCCTCACTGAGCCAGATAATGATCATCTATTTAAGCGAGACAAGCTCCAGCACTGGGAAGACGACTACCAAAAAAAAAAAAATAAATGAATTAGTGAATGAGGCCATGGGCACTACTGTTGGTACTCATGGCTATAGACGGTGCATTCCTTCAGTCGCAAAGGTGTTCAACCAAAAAAACGATAAGAGTACCTACTATCATCCATCCATGAGTGGGTATGAATGTTTGTAAGGCTCCAGTCTTTATAGCTTCAGTGTGCAATGGACTATGTAATTGCCTAAATGCATATAAGGTCATATGTAAGGTAGTGGGCCATCTATCTGGATCAATATATCAATTCAATATTAAATGATCCAACATCATCGAAGCAAAGTGTAAACATCCAAACATATCATCCTCTCAAACATACGCCTTTATTTTTGAAATTCCCATTTCACCATTTCTGTCCAAGCGTACCTTCCTCCCTAAACATTCAAACTGTGCAAGCAGAGTCAGCGAGTGGCGGCGCTAGCGGTGTCAGGTAGGTGAGTGTGCAGTCGATCGAGTGTCACGTGAGCGCAACAAAGTTAGTGACAACTTCGGGTCAGGCTCACTTAAGGTGGACCGACCTTTAAGGTGGACCAGCAATTCGTGTCAAGGCACCTGCCGGCTTTGACCAGAAACCAGACCTCCAACCTCTTCTTATTCAAAAGAATAGTTTGTTCTTCATTCAAATGTCTGTCAAATCATATTCAAGTTGCTTTTTGCAAGTTGATATAAATGTAACTGATTGTGTTAAACGGGCATATGATATATAGCATATGGATCGCAAGCTCCGTCATTTTTTTATCTAATATAAATTGCATCATGGCAGACTTTGTATTTTCAGGCAGGTATTGTATCATTGTCCAATGAATCAATATCTCATTATATTGTAATGAAAATAGTGGTTTACATCCCTAGTAATATGTTGGCTCAAGTCATAGCGTGGTCTTTGATTTGTCTAATTGAGGCATTAACACCAAACAACACAAAGACCCACACACAAATGTTACAGTGTAAAGCAGGTGTGTTATTCTTTTCTTTCCTTTCTGTGCAGCAACTTCCCCACAACTTCCCTCGTCGACTTCTACTTCACTTTGTCAGTTTCTGCACTTTATGGAAATCAGTTGGAATGGGCTGCCTTGGGTTGTGGGTTAGAGGTGTGGGTGGACTGAAAAGAGAAATCTGCAGCTGAAGTGGAAGGAGAGTGCAGCCACTTTTGTCTGTTTAGTGAGGCGTGTACTGCATGTCCAAACAAAGGCTCACTAGGTAAATAAAGGTATTAATGATGTTTGAGGAAATGAATTACTAGTGAAGAGAAATCTTTTTCTTTCCTCATCAACAAAACCACTTACTTTGAAACCAGGTAACAGCTCGTCTCTGTCCAAAAGTAACGAAAATCCATCTACCTGCACGTCTTTAGTTCACTAATCAACACTGTATGTCTTGTTTGCTGCCGAGAGCAATAACTTCGTGGAGCCTCCGCTCATTGACCCTTTTATGGATTTTATATTACTGCTGCATCTTATATGATGATTTAAGCACTGTACTCTTCAATGCATCGCTCTAAATGTATGCAGCTCCATTCTGCTTACATGACGCTGAAAGTCTTGATGTGTGGTTTAAAAAGCAACACCCTTTTTGAGTCGGATTCTGTTTGCAGAGCTCAGAAAAGCCAATGTAGGAGAAGTATTGTGTTCCCAGTAGAGTCCTCACAATTTCTATCACTCTCTGACAAGCCTCGTTTCACCACTTCTCACTGTGTACTTAATGTCTTATCAGCTTACGTGGGCTGGGTACTTTAATGTGCATTACGCAAAAAATAAAAATCACATAGAGTGCATTTCATTGTCTTCTATTAAGTGGAGACCGGCTCCTCTGCCTCCCCCACAAAGGATCTCTCCCTGTGCGATTGCTCAATGTCTAAGTGGGGAATCAAAAGCTCAGCCTCTGTGATTCGGAAGACACAAAAAACCTGACATTCACAGTGAAATGAATGAAAAAGATAGTTGAACATTTAAACTCCATTGTGGAGTTGATATAGTCCATTTTTTATATTCAAGAGAGAAAGAAAAATAAGCTGCCCATCACAGCATCACTGCGCCAATTAGTCACCTATTGTTACATGCTCATATGATTGAGGGAGAAAGTGAAGTGCTGGAAAAAGGCATGAAATGAAGCAGGTGTCATGTCAAAGTCTGTTCTCCTATCAAGGTTTAGGTAAATGGACTTGCACTTAGTGTATGAATGTTGACACTACATGTCAACATTCATACACTGAGGGAGCACATCAGATTCCAGTCATTCACACCGATGAACGATCGGGAGCAATTTGGGGCTCAGTGTTTCGCCCAAGGACACATCAAGAAGCCGGGGGTTCGAACCGCCCGTCCTCCGATAAATGGACGACCCGCCCTGCCTGCTGACCAACAGCTGCTAGGAAACGTGTATCACCACGACACCAGGAAGGTTAAAGAGATCATGTGGTCCGTTCGCTGTTTTCAGACCCGCTCATCCATCTGGACGAGAACTATAAAGAAATAGCCAATCTTCTCACTGATGGTCTCATTTACTCATGTGGGTCATGTGGAGGCATCAGTACTGAATTGAGGCCGTTTCACAGCCGGTTAAAAGTTCCTCACAGCATTCCTGAAGCACGGAGTGGTGTGTCCACTCAGGGCCCTCGTTTTCCCCTCGCTGTCTGATCCAGCAGGGCACCGGCCTACAAGTTGCTAAATCAATTCCCCACTGGCTCCTCCACTTTCTGTTATCTCCTTCTCCTCCCAGTCCGAATCAGTCAAGCTGAAAATGACGACGAGCATCTTCCCCTGCATCAGGTGCGCACCATGTCAAACCCCCCCCCCCCCCCTTCACTTAACATCCATCTGGGTTACATGACACAAAGCCGTCATCTACAGCTTGTCTGTGTGTTTATGTGCTGTGTTCTCAGCGACCAATCATCGGAAAACCGCCCGTCTAACCATTTTCTGTTCCCCGCTGTGGCCATTTTTCACGTTTTACAACCATACCCACGTCCACGTCGACAGTTAACTGTTGCTTTGAAGTGGTCGTGTACGATACGCGTCAGCCTATAATGAAAAAGCCCTTCGTGGACGCACGTACACAGAAATTGAGAGTACAAATCACATAATCCAAAGTCGGTTCGTGGCAAATGGGGTCCCTTATTGAGACATCTCATGAAATCAGATTAATTGCCAAATTAATACGGATTGATGCCACAGAGCGAGGCCGCGGAGCCGTGCAAATGCATTAATTTCCTGCGCGAGACCATTACCCACAATTACCGGCCGTCGACCCAGCCGAGATCTCCACAGAGTGGGGGGGGGAAGAAAGCGCCTTACAGTGCAGGAACACGTCGCGTGTTTCCTTTTGTTGCACCACTGTGTGCAGTTCACTGACAACGCCTGTCTTTGATATCTGCCATCAGTAATAACGATTCATCACAGAGGGAGGCACATCGTTTCCCTCGGAGGGTTATGAAACGCCACCCTTCCCCTACAAGCGCAGCCTCTTCTTCTTTCTCATCAGAGGTACGCTTTAATCTAAGCAAGGCAGGCGGAGGGAGAATGAGAGAGAGAGAGGGAGCGCGCATGTCTGTGGAACGGCACTGGCTCGGCTCCGAGATGCAGTTGCCATGGTAACAGCATAGAGGACCCTCTTTTTTTTAATTTATTTTTTATTCTTCAAACCCGCTCGTCTCTCATAACAGAGAGCCGGACCGAACGAGGAGGGTGGATGAGAGGCCAAAAGACAAAAGGGATGGAGGATAGGTGGGAAAAGATTGCTGCCTGCTCAGTGGGTAGAGTGGTCTGGAGGGTTGGCGGTTCGATCCCCGCTGTCTGCAGGTCCCTTGTGAGAAACCGAACCACAAGTTGCTCTCCGGGCACTTTAATGCAGCCCTCTGCTCCTTAATGCTCAGTATGGGTTAAATGCACAGGTCAAATGTCATGTATGTACCCGGTATGTATATGACCATTGGAAGATTTTAAGAAATGACAAGAGGTGTCGTGGTGTCGCGACTCAAAAGAGGAGTCAAAGTTTCCTCCCCTCCAGTTAGGGGTGGAACCCTGCACAAGGGGACGGATGGGGAGTTTGAAGCAGAGACGCAGGCCACCGCCACTAACCTCACCCTCTATACCGTCTATCTGACATCTGAGCCCTGACAGGCACAGTCAGCACTCTTTGGCCGATACACAAGCCTAATTCCATTGCGCGAATCCTCGGTTATAATGACATTTACCCATTAGCATGCACTGAGCTCACAACGCAGCCGGGTAATCACGATGAGTGCCGCACTGGCAAAAGAGGAAGACACAACACAATAGCTGCTACAGTGCATCCTCTTACTTAGCTTGGGTAGCTATTTGCATACGGGTTCCAACTGCTGCAGTACATGTCAGGTGTATGAACACGCGCGTCTGCAGCCAAAGCTGCCATTCATGACTGCAATCGTGTTAAAGATACACATGTCTCCCGAGAGTCACAGGTGAAGGAAAATTCAAGTGTTTAACTTCCAGTTTAAGGTCACGTTCGTGTCAGCAGTGTGTGAGGTGGAGCAGGAGCACTCGGGTCAAGTGGTTTTAAATTACTCTCGGTGAAAGAGGGATGCATTCAGAGAGAGACAGCAAAGACATTGACGAGTACAAGT